GGGGGGGGGTGTAACCAGATAATACAAAGTAAACCTCTGAGAGTAATCTATGTCTAGAAAAGTATTCGGAAATATAGAGAAAATAATAAGGTTCTAAATGTGACCATTGGTGCAGAAAATCTAGTTTGATCGTAATTGTTCCCTGAAGTAGAGGGAATAAAGTCTTCAGGTGGTTCTCTCATAAGTTGTCTCTTATAATGTGCTGTAAGTAGCAGCACGTATGTTCATTTCTTAATTACCAACATGCTGGGGCGGTGTTATAAGTACTACAAGTACCATTTAAATATATACACAGCGTAATAACGCGCATATGAAGACAACTTTTACAACAGTTCCAACAATGAAGGTCAATTGTAAATTTTGAGCAATATTTTCGATGAAAACAATAAAAATCGATTATCAAAAAACATTTGCTGTTTGCTTGCAGGTACAAATACAATAGCCCGATGCGGCAGAAATATGAAACTTTTTTTGTCAATTTTGATAAACTGGGTACATACTCAGACCTGACCCTATCATAACATAAAACATACCCAAACCTGAACCTATCATAACATAAAACATACCCAGACCTGACCCTATCATAACATAAAACATACCCGGACCTGACCCTATCATAATATGATACATTCCCAGATCTGACCCTATTATAACATGATACATTCCGAGACATGACCCTATCATAATATGATACATACCCAGACCTGACCCTATCATAATATGATACATTTCCAGACCTGACCCTAATATAACATGATACATACCAAGACCTGACCCTATCATAACATAAAACATACCCAGACCTGACCCTATCATAACATAAAACATACCCAGACCTGACCCTATCATAATATGATACAAACCCAGACCTGACCCTATCATAATATGATACATACCCAGACCTGACCCTATCATAACATGATACATACCCAGACCTGACCCTATCATAACATGATACGTACCCAGACCTGACCCTATCGTAACATGATACGTACCCAGACCTGACCCTATCATAACATGAAACGTACCCAGACCTGACCCTATCCTAACATGATACGTACCCAGACCTCACCTTATCATAACATGATACATACCCAGACCTGACCCTATCATAACATGATACATACCGAGACCTGACCCTATCATAACATGATACATACCCAGCCCTGACCCTAGTATAACATGATACGTACCCAGACCTGACCCTATCATAACATGATACATCCCCAGACCTGACCCTATTATAACATGATACATACCCAGACCTCACCCTATCATAACATGATACATACCCAGACCTGACCATAGTATAACATGATACATACCCAGACCTGACCCTAGTATAACATGATACGTACCCAGACCTGACCCTACCATAACATGAAACGTACCCAGACCTGACCCTATTAAAACATGATACATACCCAGACCTGACCCTATCATAACATGAGACATACCCAGACCTGACCCTATCATAACATGATACATCCCCAGACCTGACCCTATCATAACATGATACGTTCCCAGACCTGACCTTATCATAACATGATACATACCCAGACCTGACCCTAGCATAACATGATACATCCCCAGACCTGACCCTAGTATAACATGATACATACCCAGACTTGACCCTATCATAACATGATACATACACAGACCTAACCCTATCATAACATGATACGTACCCAAACCTGACCCTATTATAGCATGATACATACCCAGACCTGACCCTATCATAAAATGATACATATACAGACCTGACCCTATCAAAACATGATATTTACCCAGACTTAACCCTATCATACGTACCCAGACCTGACCCTATCATAACATGAAACATACCCAGACCTGACCCTATCATAACATGATACATATACGGACCTGACCCTATCAAAACATGATATTTACACAGACTTAACCCTATCATCATAACATGATACATAATGAGACCTGACCCTATTATAATATGATACATACACAGACCTGACCCTATCATAACATGATACATACCGAGACCTGACCCTATCATAACATGATACATACCCAGTCCTGTCCCTAGTATAACATGATACATACCCAGACCTGACCCTAGCATAACATGATACATACCCAGACCTGACCCTAGCATAACATGATACATACCCAGACCTGACCCTATCCTAACATGATACGTTCCCAGACCTCACCTTATCATAACATGATACATACCCAGACCTGACCCTATCAAAACATGATACATATACAGACCTGACCCTATCAAAACATGATAGTTACACAGACTTAACCCTATCATAACATGATACATACCCAGACCTGACCATAGTATAACATGATACATACCCAGACCTGACCCTAGTATAACATGATAGATACCCAGACCTGACCCTATCATAACATGATACATCCCCAGACCTGACCCTATTATAACATGATACATACCCAGACCTGGCCCTATCATAACATGATACATACACAGACCTGACCATATCATAACATGATACGTACCCAAACCTGACCCTATTATAGCATGATACATACCCAGACCTGACCCTATCATAACATAAAACATACCCGGACCTGACACTATTATAACATGATACATACCGAGACCTCACCCTAGTATAACCTGATACATACCGAGACCTGACCCTAGTATAACATGATACATTCCCAGACCTGACCCTATCATAACATGATACATACCGAGACCTGCCCCTATTATAACATGATACATACCCAGACCTGACCCTAGTATAACATGATACGTACCCAGACCTGACCCTACCATAACATGAAACGTACCCAGACCTGACCCTATTAAAACATGATACATACCCAGACCTGACCCTATCATAACATGATACATATACAGACCTGACCCTATCAAAACATGATATTTACACAGACTTAACCCTATCATAACATGATACATACCCAGACCTGACCCTATCATAACATGATACATACACAGACCTGACCCTATCATAACATGATACATTCCGAGACACTAACACATCATAACATGATACGTACCCAGAACGGATCCGAAGAAGGCCATACAGCCTAATGCAGTGGCTTTGTCTCGGTCCTCCACGCATCTGTGGAAATAAAAAGGAATCGGTGATAGCCTGCTGCATATCTGTTAATTTTTTCCACGAGTTTAATCATTCATATAATACCATCCTTATTTATTTCAAAGCAAAGTCCAGCATCAATGCATAATAATTCATGAAATATTTACAATGAACACCTGTTATTAGATTGTATTGACCTTCAGAGAAATGTCCATAACAAAATCGGCTTCCTGGAAACTGTTCGTCTGTTCAAAAAATATGTTTAATCGTGGCCACGTTTAGGTTTGTTTTTATCCTATTGGTTTTTTTGTAAGTTTTATCGGTCATTTGACCTAATGACTTCTTCCGCGTTGATGGACCGTTAAGAGTGTAGTAATTGTTGATGATCTGAACAATATTTGTATCAGTAATTGCGTTCCGTATAATAATTCTGTAAGGTTATGTTGTCAAAGCCGGAAAGCCTCGTTCTGAAGTAACAAAAGGATGGCAGCAGATTTACTGTTTCCATTCTTTGACTCTACATGTACCCAGCTAATGACTTATCAACTGTTACAGTAATAATAAATGTGACGATATTGACCAGAATGATACTAGGCGTAATTATTCATATAGTTTTGATTTTTTTGTCGTAATTAAATGTCTTTTGTTAGCTAGGTGAAAACCCTTTCATGAACTTAAATATCGCGAAAAGTTCAAATAGAAAAATATATACTACAGTGTCAACAAATATCGACAACGCGTCAACACACAACAAAATATATACCACATCATCAAATGTGATGTTAACTAAACTACTTTTATAACGTCAACAAGAAAACGACTAATAAACCACATCGTCACCATAAAATCTATCACAATATTACACACACGGTCAAACTATACAACAACTCCTACTTCCAAAGGCAAAATGCATCATAGCGTCAATAATAACGGAAAAGATATGCAGAAAGAATAGGACCAGTTGTTCCGGGAGGGTAAGCGTACTATATTAATTTTCATCGATGACACATGTAAATGTAAGTTGACAACAAAACCATAAGGTATTTGAATGAACTTAATAAAAAAAACATAGACTTTCATATCAAACAAAGAAAGAGCATATTTGCTTGCGAGATGCTAACGGCGACCATAGTCTCCATCGGCCTGCAGGTACCTTCTCCTCTACATTTTACATTTAGTTCTTAAAATAAATCGCATATATATCAAGACAATGTGTATCCAGCCTATTCATAACGTATTAATTAATAAGCTGTCTATTTACTGTTCGATCGACCTTGTATCAATTTATATTCCACCGTCGAATATTGCAGTGTATTATTATATAAAAATCATCGACAAAATATTTTACTGAAACATAAAAGTCAAAAAAAAAAACTCTCCCCCCTCCACCCTTTTATTTATAACTCTAACGGACCACTGCCAATCAGGTTTTACTAAAAATGATCTTATCGGTCACAACTAAGCGTACGTAACGTATTAGGAGAACTTAATCAAATCTAAATACAGATATTGTGATAAACTCCATGCTTTACCTGAGTTTTGCAATGTAGCCCGGTGAAATGAGCAGCGCATTAAGTAGTCCTCCTATTACACACAACACGGCGAATGGGTATATGGTATTGCAGTCGGACTCACATTCACCAGAGGTCGCTCTCCCATCCGGAATACACGTACAGTTGTTAAAAATCTTAAACGAAACACATTTTTTTTTCTTCAAACCCATACCTAAAGCAGCATAATGTTATTGGCTCACGCAAATATGATATTGATGAAGATATTTTCATAAATTGTCAGAAATATTGACCTTGACATTGTTCTTTGGTGTTTTAACTTAAATTGTTCACTCAGCCATAGCTCGACAAAGGGACTAGTCGGTCTTGAAACGGTGCAACACGTTTAACACGTACATTTTTTGTGTAGGACGTAACATTTTGATATAACATACTTCCAAACTGATGAATCTTATTGAAGATATTTGAGAAAAAGTTTCTAGAACATTTCGTAAGCAATATCATGTCAACTGCCTTTCAGAGACGACACACACGTTACACGGTGTTTTACTGACTAAATACCACTTTCACAAGCCAGATATACAAAATATCCTTTTGACGGAGACTGCAAATTGTAACCTGCCACCTATTTGATGGATACCACAAACTTTACGTTAACTGACCTGTGAGAGGAACGGATAGACAGGTATCCACTCCTGGGAAACAGTTAACGAACAGTTACCTGCCCTTTGTAATTATATGATGAACATTTACATGCCTTTGTAATGATTAAATGAACAGTTATCTGCCATTTGTAATGATGAAATGAATAGTAACCTGCCCTTTAGAATGATGACACGAACAGTTACCTTCCCTTTAGAATGATGACACGAACAGTTACCTGCCCTTTTGAATGATAAGATGAACAGTTAAAATAATGTACCAGCTCTTTAGACAGATATGATAAACAGTTGTTTGCCCTGTCAACCGAAATGATGGCCAGGTACCCGTCCTTTATTTTGGGAATGATGATAAATTACCTGTCCCTTTTGTGGGGCTGCGGAACAGCCAGCGTAGCAGGGTGAATGATAGTTGACGCCATTTGAACCACAAACAGGGAAAAACACATCATCCTTACAATCACATCCGCTGGAACAGCCTTGTGTCGTTACGTTCTGATTAGGGTGATATCTGTAGTTAAACAAATAAAGGAAACATGTAATGCAGATTGATCCTTTATTTATCAAATGTTTTCAAAAATGTGTCAGTCCTCGGGTATCTGAAAACTCGTTTCCCTTTGAGAATATCTCCATGTGATGTAAGCTACCACATATAACCTTTTATCACATAATCGGCCTTTTATCCAGTGAAATCGCCCGTGTAAAAAAATTACATATGTCACTAGTGTAATATACCTTGGAGCGTTTTTCATGTAAGATGTAAGGTCTGGGTATGTTTTATGTTATGATAGGGTCAGGTCTGAGTATGTACCCAGTTTATCAAAATTGACAAAAAAAGTTTCATATTTCTGCCGCATCGGGCTATTGTATTTGTACCTGCAAGCAAACAGGAAATGTTTTTTGATAATCGATTTTTATTGTTTTCATCAAAAATATTGCTCAAAATTTACATTTACAATGTAAGTTATGTAATAAAAAGTATCTTAAATTTGTTTTCATTTCATATGAGCTTTTATGAAACTCGTCTCGAAGTTTTAATTTTTGCTCGCCAAGGCTCGCAAAAATAAAAACTCCTTAGACTGGTTTCATAAAATCTCATATGGAATGAAAACTTATTTAAGATCCTATATATATCAATTATCATACTCCCTGTAATTACCACTTAAAAGATATCTGATGTAAAAACTCTGATGTGCATTTTCCATATCATATCCGAAGCAGCCTCACACCAGAAGAAGTACAGGAATATAGCCCTTTGATATTTTTAAGTATATCAATGATCATTTTGTTCCCATACATACATTATATTTTTGTATTGTGTAAACTTGTCTTAATTTATATTATATATACTCTACCGTATGAAGGTGTCATGCCAGGCTGCATACATTGGTTATCATTTTTATCAGACAAACAGTTTACATGTTTTGCTTATCTCCTTTAAATCAAACCATGCGGTGCTGTTAATCTAGACTAAAAACAACAGCATCAAGGACGAAATGGTACACAATTAATCATTATATTTTCTTTCGCTCATTAGGTGTAAATTATGTTTTATACGCCGAGCTAGATATTGATATTATATAAATCCGTCTACCTATCTTTAAGATTGAGTGGAAAGTATGTAAAATAAAGTTTAAACAAATCATTCGCATTGATATGTCTCGCATGTGCCCCGCATTGACCATCAATGCACATGTTTGGTTGGTCTAGCACTTATAGTGTCAGAGAAACTAACTTAAACGCAACATCTTGATGTTAATGGAGATGCTGACGAAGTCAATGGACCATGAAAAGTGGGCCGCATCCTGCATTTGATCCATGGGTTGAAAAATTCAAATACATGCACTTATACTTACTTTTCAGGGCCAACAAATTTAGGCTGGTCACATCCTAGGAAGAGAGACGAGGTGAACACTACCACGTATATAGTATAAATAGATATCATTAGCCCAATAGTCCTCCTAGGTGTGAGATTGATCATCCTTGTCAGTAGGCCTCCCACAAATGTTCCTAATCCGACAGCAACCTTGAGAGACGCTGTAGTGGCAAACGTATACTCTTGTTCTTACTCACTTAATAGGTTCAATCAATAAGAGAATACCGAAGTGTCAACGCAACCAGGATTCGATAAATCGATAAAGAATAAGAACAAAGTCAAGCTTTACGGGGAGAATCTTGAAAGTGCAAAAAGGAATAAGACCGGGTGTTGCGGCGGAAGGATAGGCATAAACCACATGTTTTTGGGCAGTATTCTTAGTTTTTGTAACACAAGAAATATGAACCATTTTTTCTCCCACTCTTCACAGGTGTGTCTCCCGTTTCAGCCGGGAAAAATCAGCTTGTCACCCCCTGGGGTTTGAGATTGAGGTTGTTCAATTATGACGTCATTAAAATGTGTCACCGGTGTAATTGTGACGTCATCAAAAGTGAATAACGATATTCATTCTCCACATGTAATTTGTTTACAAACAAAGGCAGATTATTGTCGGAGTTGTGACTGAAATAATATCTTGGGAGAAAAAATAAGCACCCCCTTCCTTGAGGGTGTAACAGAGAAATCTCCTACCATCGGGGTGATTTTTGTTGGTTGTCAATAAAAATCACCTCTTGGGTAGGAGATTTCTCTGTCACATCCTCAAGGTAGGGGAAGATTCTATTAATCAATGGTCAGTTGACTGTATGAATTATTGCACGAATATGTCATAGTTATATAATAATACCCGGGATATATACCGCACAAAGGTACAACCTAGCAGTGTCTGAAGTAGACATTGGATATTTATAAGATTCCACTCCTCTGCACTCCACAAAGCATTTGTAGAACTTTATATAAGACAGGCGTTGTTTATAAAACTGAAAACGTTCATTGATGACATAACTTGATACAGAGGTTTTCGATGGCTATCGAAAGCAGGGCCCGTATTCATGAAACCGTCCTCATAGTCAAAATCAAATTCATCAACATAATTTTATTTCAAAAACTCACATTTGGAAGAAGATTTTAAAGACTTCATACCGTATATTTTATCTTTAGTGTTTCCACTAGATATCTTGAATGTGTCACATGATTTAAGCGTGTTACAATTATTTTTATTATCATAAATGCTTAATGGCCCATCAATACAAAGCCTCTGCATGGGCATGAACACGGTCTCTTGTATACAGACCCGACTGTTGTCATCTTTACTGAAATGCGTGCGCTATTAAAGAAAATAAGAAAACGGGATTGTTTTTCACCAATCATAATCAATTATTCAAAGCTTAACTTACCGAGAATCATGTTGGCCTGCCAGAGAGGAATGTTGAACTGTATTTTGATGTATTTAGATAGAAACGATAAATACCCGCCGATGGAACCAAGGTGGAGCGTGGTGCTAAATAGGAGACAAAGCCACACAGTGTTCGAAAAACAACGCCTGAAAGATGTCAGCCGCTCTGTTGAAATAAAAAGAAGTCATCATTTAAATGGAAACATCTACATACTCTACAAATACAGACAAAACGAAATCTAATGTTGAATGACTTTATGACTTTTCAATGACAAGAACATTTATTTAATGTCGCAAGTGGATACAGATGTGTTCGATATCAATGTAAAAAAGGTTATATATATCTGTCACCAAACCTTTTATTTTTCCCATTATTTTCATGTCCTTGGTTGTTTTTCCTTTAACGATGATCGCCTTTGGTTTTTTAAGATGACGGGGGAAAAATGCCATAGGCAATGCAAAGATAACAGCTGCACCTCCAAACATCATGAAGCCAATCCACCACGCCCCAATCCACCGAGGATCCCGAGGGGAAATGTCCACATCTGTCAGGATTGATATCAGTATCATTGAGCGCTCAAATACAACTTCCGGTTAATTAGTACGTTAACATTTTATATTATTCAGATATAGCAACTGTAGAAGGTTTTACGGTGACTTTAAGTCGATATGCCGGAATATATTCTGATAAGTATGATTTTCCTGATCAATGCATTAATTTGTCGCATATATTATTGCCCCGATTGAACATCAAAGTTTGTCCCGGAAGACAAATAGAGCCGGGAGCCATTGAATATGTACACCATTGAGACGTGAAACATGGAGGTATGCATAACGAAAACTGGATACGGTGATAGCAATTAACCTTGGCTAATCTTTTTCAATATTTCAATGTGATCTGACTTTAAGAACTTAATTTGCACTAAAACTTGTCCTTGACCTTGGAAATTAATTAATGTTTTGGTCTTTCTCTGTTCTCTATGTTCTAATATTTTCTGATATGCTGTCATTGTATTTTTTTCTTATCAAACTTGATTTGATGATGCCGCATGTCGTTTTATCTATTAACGGTAAAATTTAAAACAAGAAATATACTTACCTTCCAAAGTGACGTAAATCCTGCTGAATATACCACCCACAACGAAGGCAATCGACGGACCGGCTATAGCAAGGGCAATGATAATTCCTGAGTGCAGAACATGATCGTTGTAGTTAAACACCCAATAGCCTTTGTGTAACCATACCAAATACACAATCCAAAACACCAAATACACAATCCACAACAGCCAATACACAATCCACTTAATATTTATTTACCCGCTCAGTCGTTTAAAACATAATTAAGCGCTTCATCAGCGTATCATCAATTTTAGACATAACATCATCATAACCACGTTAATTTTTAAAATTAAGTAATGTGTTTAAGAAATAATCAACATATGGGCGAGAATTGTGACGGAATAATTAACTAGGGAGATAAATGATGGAAAACTTAATTAACAAAGGCCGCTTACGACAGAGTAAACTAGCTGAAATTTACGAAATAATCAACATATAATAAGTGTTTAAAATGATTGACAAACAAATAATTGAATAAGACATTATGTTTACCAGAAAATCACACTAACCTAGATAGAATCCAGTTTTCCTTTTCTCGCCGTTATCGTCAATATACACTGTGACAAAAGGGCCTCGTAATGATTTTCCTATACCTTGAAGAACCATGCCTGTTCCGAATATGGCTAGAAAAATTGTCCGGACTTTACTATAGGTTTCGTCTGTGTCGCTCCCCTTGTTCATTTTGTTTACGCATGCGTCATCAGTTAGTATAGAAGTATTTCCGGAAACCAAATCACATAGAGGAAATGCCTGGCTTTTTATCGGAGAAAGCAGTAGAGACGATGAGAGGTTGTCCTTTATGACGTCATTAGGGGTCAGCGATGGTAGCGTGCCACTGGCAAGGCTGACGAAGTGTGGTAGACTACAAATCAACCCTGAAAACCCGTACAGGAGGAACGCCGCACAAAGAACCCGTGGTATGTGCATATATGGAGCAAATGAACTGATAAACAGACATACACTTAGGTATCCGATGTCGTTGAAACTCAGCAGAATGCCACTAAAGGCACTCGACAAACCAAACTGTTTCTCAATGCTCGGGATCTGAGAGGCTAAATACGTATTCAAGGACTGCGATAGAAGTCCAATGATGCTGTACCATCCAACAAAACACGGGATGCTTGCCATATGCTGGAAAAGCGAGGGTCGACAAGGGCCCACTCCGCAAGGTTCCATGACAAAATCATCGTCCCCATCGTCGACAGTGTCCTTAAGAGTATGTCCGTTCTGTCGGTCCTGGTTTTCAGACTTCTGTTCTGATTCCATAGTCCACCTGTAACAATGATAAAGATGAAACAGTCAAAACATGTTAATTCAGGTTTAAAGTGCATCTTTTTAACATTTATGAGGGTATGCAACACAGTTTCGCTCAAACATATTCCATGATGCGCGTTAGCGCATCTTGGAGAATATGTTTGAACGTAAAAACATTGAATAAATTTGATAAAATTGACAATAGATCTTAATTTGAAACAAAAATACCCTGTAAAGTATTTTAGTTACAAAAAGTCAGTCAGTGTTCGCGAAGGTAGTTGACCGATAAACTACGGTTGTGCAGTGGCTAAGCTCATCAGGCACGACACGGTTGGAATGACAACGAGCTGGGTGAATGGAAATTGAAAGTGAATCTCTGTTGAATGTGAAGTTTCCCGAGACACCAGATGACGATTTAAAAGACGCTGTTGACTGAATTATACTATCGACAAACGCTAGTGTAGAGGACAGCGAGTTTTTTCGGTTTTGTTGAAAATGACCTGTTAAAGGATCTAATAACAAACTCACTTCGGTGGCCCGACATACAAATGGTGTGCAATGATTCAAAACCAGTCACTCTGTATTGCCGTGGCACGGAGACAGTGTGCTGTGGATTTGTTTCAGCACCCTTATTTAAAAAAACAAATATCGGGTTTTTTTGTTGGGGGGAGGAGGGTGTTGACTGCTGTGTTTACATAGTGAGGTTAGAGGTCATATAACAGTACATGTAGTATTGTTAATACGACACCCTTTCCTGAGCCCTAATTTATTTTCCGGGGTATAACATATACGTGTATGGAATTTTACATTAGACTTCAAGAGCAATAAAGAGAGATACACTTAACTGAACCTTAAAGTCAAGCAACAGTAATGCGGAAGTATGTATTCCATTCATTCTTTCTATAGATATACTGTTTTAAATATGTTTATGTAAATGTTGACTCTGACATTGACAATAATGGTGACAGTAACGAAGGAATCATTTTCGCCAATATCAGAGATCACACTCAACATGTGTTTTGAATATTTACTTGAATTACCTGCATTTATTGAGACAACTGTACTACCTTGTATATCAAAAGTCTTTGAAAGAGCTACATGTGACAAAGTGGCCGAATATTTTAACAATATTTGACGTTTCGTTTTTGCAGACAACAGTCAACCCTGCTGAGATTTGTCGAGGATTGGCGCCAAGCCTTAAACAACCATGATAGTGTCGCCGCCATACTGATGGATCTGTCTAAGACTTTTGACTGCCTTCCTCACGACCTACTGGTCGGGACGCTGGAAGTTTATGGTCTGAACTGCGGTGCTTTGAGACCTATGTACATCTACTTGACCAGCAGAAAACAGTCGGTTAGATTTGGGTCCAAATACGACAACTGGTTGGAAATAATAAAGGGTCTCCTTCAAGGCTCTATTATTGATGAACCCTGATATATGTTTACCCCTGATATGTGGTGACCCCTGGTGTATAGTGACCACTGATATTTCGTTACCACGATCTCTTTTACATGATCATCATGTACTGCTTTTTCGTAAAATTTGGTATATATTAATTTTGGTATATGATGGTCTTTTCTAATGGTCATTATTCCTGTCATGTGGTGACCTCTGATATGGGGATTTTTTTAATTATTTGACTGCTGCTATTTGGTCACGCTAGTTTGTGTTTACTTCTGTTGTATGTTGACACATGACTACCTGGGGACTTTGGTTTATGGTGGCCTGATGATTACCTTGGGGACCTTGGTTTATGGTGGCCTGATGATTACCTTGGGACTTTGGTTTATGGTGGCCTGATGATTACCTTGGATTTTGGTTTATGGTGGCCTGATGATTACCTCAGGTATCCAGTGACCTCGGTAGGAATTGACATCTGCTATGCAGTGACCCTTAATTATGAAAGTCTTTGTAAATACTTTTTCATAGTCAACTTTAAACACAGTGCCGAAAGTAACAGTTATCATAGTTTTTTAATAACACTGATTTTTTTTAAATAGTTCTTTTTGAGTATTTAAAAAACTGAAAACTTACACCAGAATTGATATTTATGTTTTAAAGAGAAAATTAGGCTTGATCTCGTTTCTTAATTCAGCGATTTTAAAAGATCAAAGATGGATTTGAGAAGTTTAAATCTTAGAACTATTAGACACCTTGCAATAAGCTTAAATCATATGTAGTTTCAGTGGACCGGCTTGATGTTCTACACAAATATTATCGATTATCGATTGAAGTGTTCTAAATGCCGAAACTCACGAAAATCACAAAAATCTTAATCTGAATACAGCATATCTGGGATGTGTTTATAAGAAGGGCAACCATAGTTATGCTTGCTACGATACGAAAAAGGAAAAGCAATACTTTGGACAAAAGAATTTGTATCTAGAACACATTTGTTGGATGCGATGTTTGGACAAATATAACAGTATCCTTTATTCGGCAAACGACTGTATTTGTTTTGAAGAGTAACGTGAGGGTACATAAAGTAAAACACGTTTTAATAAAAAAAAAAAAGTTAATATCTCCTATCTAATTCTTTGAAAAACCAATGTGTTTAAGATAATGATATTTAGGATGTAATTTTATGTATCTCTGGGGTATCACCAGTGCGTGTATTTATTGATATAGCTCATTTAGTTTAGTTCGGTTTACTTTTTAGCTTGCCGGGTACCCAAACTGGAACACTTTATCGTATAACTTTGTTTATGAAAATCACTGACAGTATGTAAATTGTTTTTCTTCATTTCAAGAAAGTTTGAAACTTTCTGATAAAATTAAGTCCTGTATCCATTTTAACTAATATGTTTTTATGTGCAAAATATATCTATGTTGTCGCACCGTACGTCCTCGCAGGAATTGTTTCATTCTATTTTGTTTTTATTTTTTAACTTATTTAATGGGCAATATACAGGTGGTGGGCAGATAAAAATTGCTTTGATTGCTTAAATCTATCTCCATTTTGATTACGTTTATATACCACTCATTTGTATAGCAAAATAGCATATACATGTATTTGAAAAGTGTTCTACATTGGTGCTCTGACGTTACCATAACACCATGTACAATATTGATTTATGTCATATAAACATTCCAGTTAATATCATTGTAACATTTATATTGAATTCTAGTATCAAACATATTAAAATCAAAGTCACATAATATTTCTAAACATTTCCTCAGGTTGAGAAGTATTGATTATGAAAAGTTCTTGTTACACTACCAAAAAGTGTTTATATGTGACGTTTCGATGACTAGTACGCTATGTACTCTGTCACTTTCATTGAACAAATGACCAGTGAAGCGTATGCACACAAAGGTGTAAAATGGGAAGGAGTTGTCCACAAATCGATGTCGATTCGGCTACGTTGTAAGTGTATGTACAATCAGCTGTTATATATGTACTGAAATGACTCAAGTCAGCTACGCTTTGCTTAATACTTGGTCATTTATGTGCGAGAGTCTATGAGACCTCTTAGTGGGTAAATAGGAACGAACACCATTTCAAGAACTCTAAACATCTAGCGGGAGCTATGTCTACCACCAAGATTCAGGAAGACGAAGAATTCATTTCACATTATGTTGTCTCTCTCTTTTTAAAACAACACACCCATTGACGATACACTTGGAAATTCCGAAACGCTTAGAATTAGACAAATCCTGGCGTAAGAACACAAACCTCCAGATTCAGGACATCATGGATCTGCTGGAGCTTGTGCTGACAATAACATATTTAAGTTTCCGAGACAACATCTATCAACAACGCTTCGGCACTGCTATGGGTAGTCCAATGTCTCCCATTGTGGCCAATATGTTCATGGAACATCATCTAGAGCAAGAAGCAATAGCCACTGCCCCCATAGAATACAAGCATAGTTTATGGAAACGATATGTTGACGACATACTCGAGATAATTAAGAAAGGGTCACAGAAGGATTTGACCACCCATATCAACACCATAGATGCCACTAACAACATCAAATTTTTTCATGTGAGAAAGAAACCAACGGCACAATGCCCCTCCTGGACACTCTACTGGTGAAGAAAGAAAATGGAACCGTGAAGGTATTGTTCTATAGAAAAAAGACCCATACGGACCAATACCTGTACTTCAAATCTCAGCATCCTTTGCACCAGACGTTAGGCGCCGTACGCACATTGCTCAACAGAGGTTAAACAATAGTCACAGAACAACAGGACAAAATACAGGAGCGGAATCACATCGCCAGGGCACTGAAAACCTGTGCATATCCGGAATGGGCCATAAAACGGGTACAAAAACAGTGTTAAAGCAAGGGAGAAGAACAAGAAAATGCCAATCAAGGATCAGAACAAATCAAAGGTCAAGTGGTCATCCCGTATAAGTACATCGGAAACCATCCAGAGGATACATCGCGGTCATGGCATAGCAACAGCCATGAAGCCCCACAAGATGCTTCGTAATATCATAGTATAACCTAAGGATAATACACCTTAAGAAAACGTCGCAGAATGCGTATACAAAACCATGTGCTTGGTCTTTCTCTGTGCAGACGGACTAGTGAAAACGGAAATGCCAGAAAGCACGGAACGCACAGGAGGAAGGTTTAATAGGGATGTGATGAGCGTTTGAACAGCAAGAACGTTGTGAACAGCGAATTGAATATCACTAGTTCCGTTTGCATGGAGAAAGAACTACCACATGGTCCGATATGCAGTTTTACACTATCTGTTGTTTTGGAGGCAGATATCATGTGTCATACATTAATAATTATGAGGATTTATGTATGTACTCTCATTACGGACTCTTAACATGCAACAACTGCGACAAATCGTATATTGGAAAGATTAGAAGGCGATTTTGGGTCCGCCTTGGTGAACACTGGAAAGTTACGGAAACCCAAGAAGGAAGGAAATTCACCAGATCAGAAAAGAAGGAGTCGGAGTCTCAGATAAATTAAATCGGCAATCACTGACCATGCCATACAGAAAAATAATGTAATTGACTGGGATAACTCCAAAGTAATGGACAGAGAGAGAGGCAGATAAAGGAATCAATCTGCATACGCCGCAGTGGACCAGTTCTAAATCGAGATGAAGGGGCTCATATACTCTCTAACATCTATGACCAAGTATTAAACAAAACGTAGCTGAATCGAGTCATTTCGGTACATATATAACAACTATTGTACATACGCTTACAGCGTTGCCGAATTGACATAGATTTTGTGGACAACTCGTACACATTTTACGCTTGGCCACTTGTCTGATAAAGGTAACAGTGTACATACTGTACTAGTCATCGAAACGTCACATAGAAACTCTTATTGGTTGTGTAAAAGTCACATAATAATGTCAAAGTAACATGTATTATAGAATTATGAGGTTATTATGATCGTAACACGTTGATTTATGTCATAGTTTTATGTAGGTAAATGCCAGATAAGAAGAGTTCATATAAATACCTCCTCAGTTTGGTAACAACAAAGAAATTTAAATATAAATACCTCCCTAGTTTAGTGAAAACAAAGAAAATTAAATATAAATTCCTCCTTAGTTTAGTGAAAACAAAGAAAATTAAATATAAATGCCTGCTCAGTTTCGTGATAAAAACAAAATTAAATATAAAAACCTCCTCAATTTGGTGAAAAGAAGGAAAATTAAATTATAGATATTTCCACAGTTTGTTGATAAAAAAAGAAAAGTAAATATAGATCCGTTCTCTATTTGGTGGTAAAAAAAAGAAGGATAAACATAAATGCCTCTTAAGTTCGGCGATAAAAGTAAAGAGTGAATATACAAATACCTCATCAGTTCAGCGATTGCATTTAAGGGTTGATAGAAATTCCTTCTCAGTTCGTTGAATGAAGCTCAGTCGTAGCTTCTGGACTCATATAATGTGTCCTATATATATCGTGATTCGGATAATAACGATATGCACCGTCAGAAACAAGAGTTACAATATAGAACTGTTTCTTATTATCAAGATTTTATTCACACGTGTTTCAATGTTCATCTGTTCTATTAATTGCTTCGTTAGAAAAACAAATCAGTTTCACGAGATAAAATGTTGTATAACTTTGTTATAAAAAAAAGTCAGACGTGTCAAAATGTAAGACTGTTGCATAAGTTACTTTGTTATAAAACTTTTAGCCACACGTTTACAATGTAAAACTGATTTATTCGTTACTTTCTTGTTAAACTTTTAGCCACACGTTTACAATGTACAACTGATGTATTCGATACTTTGTTAATCTTTTAGCCACACGTTTACAATGTTAGACTGATTTATTCGATACTTTGTTAATCTTTTAGCCACACGTTTACAATGTTAGACTATTTTATTCGATACTTTGTTAAACTTTTAGCCGCACGTTTACAATGTTAAACTGATTTATTCGTTACTTTGTTAAACTTTTAGCCACACGTTTACAATGTAAGACTGATTTATTCGTTACTTTCTTGTTAAACTTTTAGCCACACGTTAACAATGTAAAACGGATTTATTCGTTACTTTGTTAAACTTTTAGCCACACGTTTACAATGTTAGACTATTTTATTCGCCACTTTATTGTTAAACTTTAAGCCACATTTTTACAATGTAAAGCTGATTTATTCGTTACTTTCTTGCTAAACTTTTAGCCACACGTTTACAATGTTAGACTATTTTATTCGATACTTTGTTAATCTTTTAGCCACACGTTTACGATGTAAAACTTATTTATTCGTTACTTTCTTGTTAAACTTTTAGCCACACGTTTACAATGTAAGACTATTTTATTCGTTACTTTCTTGTTAAACTTTTAGCCACACGCTACAATGTAAGACTATTTTATTCGATACTTTGTTAACCTTTTAGCCACACGTTAACGATGTAAAACTGATTTATTCGTTACTTTCTTGCTAAACTTTTAGCCACACGTTTACAATGTAAAACTGATTTATTCGTTACTTTATTGTTAAACTTTTAGCCACACGTTTACAATGTAAAACTGATTTATTCGTTACTTTCTTGTTAAATTTTTAGCCACACGTTTACAATGTAAAACTGATTTATTCGTTACTTTCTTGTTAAACTTTTAGCCACACGTTTACAATGTAAGACTGATTTATTCGATACTATGTTAATCTTTTAGCCACACGTTAACGATGTCAAACTGATTTATTCGTTACTTTCTTGCTAAACTTTTAGCCACACGTTTACAATGTAAAACTGATTTATTCGTTACTTTCTTGTTAAACTTTTAGCCACACGTTTACAATGTAAAACTGATTTATTCGTTACTTTCTTGTTAAACTTTTAGCCACACGTTTACAATGTAAGACTGATTTATTCGATACTATGTTAATCTTTTAGCCACACGTTTACGATGTCAAACTGATTTATTCGTTACTTTCTTGTTAAACTTTTAGCCACACGTTTACAATGTAAAACTGATTTATTCGTTACTTTCTTGTTAAACTTTTAGCCACACGTTTACAATGTAAAACTGATTTATTCGTTACTTTCTTGTTAAACTTTTAGCCACACGTTTACAATGTAAAACTGATTTATTCGTTACTTTCTTGTTAAACTTTTAGCCACACGTTTACAATGTAAGACTGATTTATTCGTTACTTTCTTGTTAAACTTTTAGCCACACGTTTACAATGTAAAACTGATTTATTCGTTACTTTCTTGTTAAACTTTTAGCCACACGTTTACAATGTAAAACTGATTTATTCGTTACTTTCTTGTTAAACTTTTAGCCACACGTTTACAATGTAAAACTGATTTATTCGTTACTTTCTTGTTAAACTTTTAGCCACACGTTTACAATGTAAAACTGATTTATTCGTTACTTTCTTGTTAAACTTTTAGCCACACGTTTACAATGTAAGACTATTTTATTCGATACTTTGTTAATCTTTTAGCCACACGTTAACGATGTAAGACTGATTTATTCGTTACTTTCTTGTTAAACTTTTAGCCACACGTTTACAATGTAAAACTGATTTATTCGTTACTTTCTTGTTAAACTTTTAGCCACACGTTTACAATGTAAAACTGATTTATTCGTTACTTTCTTGTTAAACTTTTAGCCACACGTTTACAATGTAAAACTGATTTATTCGTTACTTTCTTGTTAAACTTTTAGCCACACGTTTACAATGTAAAACTGATTTATTCGTTACTTTCTTGTTAAACTTTTAGCCACACGTTTACAATGTAAAACTGATTTATTCGTTACTTTCTTGTTAAACTTTTAGCCACACGTTTACAATGTAAAACTGATTTATTCGTTACTTTCTTGTTAAACTTTTAGCCACACGTTTACAATGTAAAACTGATTTATTCGTTACTTTCTTGTTAAACTTTTAGCCACACGTTTACAATGTAAGACTATTTTATTCGATACTTTGTTAATCTTTTAGCCACACGTTAACGATGTAAGACTGATTTATTCGTTACTTTCTTGTTAAACTTTTAGCCACACGTTTACAATGTAAAACTGATTTATTCGTTACTTTCTTGTTAAACTTTTAGCCACACGTTTACAATGTAAAACTGATTTATTCGTTACTTTCTTGTTAAACTTTTAGCCACACGTTTACAATGTAAAACTGATTTATTCGTTACTTTCTTGTTAAACTTTTAGCCACACGTTTACAATGTAAAACTGATTTATTCGTTACTTTCTTGTTAAACTTTTAGCCACACGTTTACAATGTAAAACTGATTTATTCGTTACTTTCTTGTTAAACTTTTAGCCACACGTTTACAATGTAAAACTGATTTATTCGTTACTTTCTTGTTAAACTTTTAGCCACACGTTTACAATGTAAAACTGATTTATTCGTTACTTTCTTGTTAAACTTTTAGCCACACGTTTACAATGTAAGACTATTTTATTCGATACTTTGTTAATCTTTTAGCCACACGTTAACGATGTAAGACTGATTTATTCGTTACTTTCTTGTTAAACTTTTAGCCACACGTTTACAATGTAAAACTGATTTATTCGTTACTTTCTTGTTAAACTTTTAGCCACACGTTTACAATGTAAAACTGATTTATTCGTTACTTTCTTGTTAAACTTTTAGCCACACGTTTACAATGTAAAACTGATTTATTCGTTACTTTCTTGTTAAACTTTTAGCCACACGTTTACAATGTAAAACTGATTTATTCGTTACTTTCTTGTTAAACTTTTAGCCACACGTTTACAATGTAAAACTGATTTATTCGTTACTTTCTTGTTAAACTTTTAGCCACACGTTTACAATGTAAAACTGATTTATTCGTTACTTTCTTGTTAAACTTTTAGCAACACGTTTACAATGTAAGACTATTTTATTCGATACTTTGTTAATCTTTTAGCCACACGTTTACAATGTCAGACTGTTTTATTCGTCATTTTATTGTTAAACTTTTCGCCACACGTTTACAATGTTAGACTATTTTATTCGCCACTTTATTGTTAAACTTTTAGCCACACGTTTACAATGTAAGACTGTTTTATTCGTCATTTTATTGTTAAACATTTAGCCACACATTTACAATGTTAGACTATTTTATTCGTCACTTTATTGTTAAACTTTTAGCCACACGTTTACAATGTAAGACTATTTTATTCTTCACTTTATTATAAGTAAAGCTTTTAGCCACACCTTTTACAATGTAGGACTGTTGTGTTATTTACTTGATTGTTAAAAGTTTAGTCCAGCTTTTTATAATGTAGGGTTGATGTATTATTTACTTTGCTATAAAGGTTTTAGTCATATCTGTTTCATTGCAAAGACTTACTTATCATTAGCTTTGTTATAAAGCTTCAGTCAAGCGCGTCATAATGTTGGATAGTTGTAGTATTTATTTCGTTACAAAACCATAAAAGGGAAAGTTAACGTCTCTGTTTGATTTGTTGTAAATAAGGACGAAGAAAGCGGCTAATTTAGAAGAGTCTGCAACATTCTAAATTTTAAGTTCATTTCAAAAGCGCCCAACAATCAAACATACAAACAAAATCGGCCAGAAGAGGACACTGTTATCAGCAGAATGCATACAGTCCGTTGGAAATGAGCGAAAAAAGTACAATATAGAGAATAAGAAATAAACTAAATACATATACATGTATGTCTCTATATGTGTTGTCCTTCGTTTTTAGCTTAGTTTTTTTTTCTAACATTTACATCGGAAATAAATACGATATTTTAACTGGTTTTTCATTCAAGGCTCATAGAATAATTGGGGTGAAAAACTAAACCTGATTTTATAACGCATGTCTTGATACATAACATCAATAATCCTTTATCACTGAGGACACACTCCTGGGTCTTTAGTAAGAGTCGAGGATTAAAAATAGTCACGTACACTATCAGTCACGTGGAGAGCTATGTGTCCCACATAGGTAAACAACTTACATAAGTGTACTCTCCCAAAGTTTGATCAGACCTTACAGTTGAATGTTAAAAGATTGAATTATTTCGTAAAATGTCTGCTGAAATATCTGTGTACATTTGTGTGATAGTGGATGGTTGAATGTTTTCATTACGTCACATGCGGGATATTATTTAAGCTTAAATTCAAATCAGTTGATAACATATTTCCTTACTTATTAGTAAGCTAACTTTTGTTGGATTAAACACTTCAGACTGTTCTATTTAAATTTAAAGTTTGAAACGTATTATCGCATCTCACAATTATGAAAAACAGATAACTAAAGAAGCTTACATGTTTGCTGCGGCACATTATTCTTACTATTCCATTCGTACAGCAGATCATTTTTGACAGAAGTATTTCTCATAGATAAACGTTCTCTTGGAATTTTCTAATGTTTCTTTATTTGGTTAAAAATGTCTGCTGATAATTTTGCTCAAAGTCAAAGAGACTGTATTGCGACAATATTTAACAGAAATGTTTTGACTG